TTAGTTAGGAAACTGAAAGATTATATTACACTAAATGTGGGTAAAATAATCGTAAGGAAAATGCTCTAGTAGATTGTTCTAGATTGCCATGTTGTTTTTTATGGTACATTTTAAAATTAATGAGTTGATGATTTAGAATTTAAACCACCAGAAATGTAGTTCTCAGGTTTCTAGGTCCATGCTCGGTTTGTATTAACCTCTTAAAGGTAAAACCTATCATATTCAAAAGGCTTCCATGTTAAGTGCTGTGAGTCTCTACAGATCACACAGAGAAAGAGTGGCAAAACGACTTCATCAGGGACTTATCAGAGCTATAAAGGCAACATATTTACTTCTTTTAGATAGAATTTACTTCTCCTAAGTCATCTTTGTTGCAACTAGCAATTATAAAAGTGAAGTTGGGGACTAGTAATCAGTTCTTGTGGGCACCAAACGTTCTTGTACTGATGTTTATGTTTCAACTGTCTTTGTTTAAAAACTCATGCTGGGTGTCTTGTGTAATTGAGAGTTTTCACAATCTGCTCTTCCCCATCTTGACTTCAAGAATACTTCAGAGAGCACTGTGGAAAATTAAATAAGCAGGTTTGTTTACCCACAGTGAAAATACGTATTCTAGGTTATAATAGTCTTATCAAGTGTAATCAGTGGCTACAATGTTGTCAAATTTTATCAACACTAGGTTTCATTGAAAGGGGACATTTGTTTTGATCTGCAGTAGAATGTCCAATATTCTTGAGAACTATAATTTTATTCATCTAACTTCCTGACAATAATCTGATTTGTTTAAAAATGTCTAGAACCAATATGGCAAAATGTTAGCACTCGTTAATGAGTCAAGAGGAACAATTTGATTTAACTTGGTATGTGTGCATAGATAATGCAACAATCTTCTGAGGTGTTCACAAGACTAGGAGGGCAGAATAAACCCTTTTCTAATATAAATACAAGCAACACTGCCATGTGAATATAATGAATGGAAATCAGATTGTTCCTAAGTAATCAGTACCAAATGGTGAAAAGCCCAACCTCTAATCTATTGCCAAACCACGAGAGCACAGCAGAAAAGCAAAAGCAAAGTCAAGTAACGGAAATTTTTCAGTGTATCTAAATGTTCATTTAAGACTACAGTCTAAAATAAGTGAGAGGATTTCTACAATCTGAATGTGATACAGTGATATGTATTATGAACATTATCAAAGCCAATTTCATCTTCCTGAAAGGGGGCTCATGGCTGGACCAACTGACAGAGACATGTAAACATTCTGAGTAGATCCTTGTACATGTCTAGAGTCATCTGCTTTGCAGAATTTCCTCATAACATACTGAAAGCTTTCTGAGGATCTGATGCCGAATTAACTGTATATCCTGAACTTACCTATGTTACAATTTTCATGTACATAATGGGATCCATAAGTCATTATGATGATTCTTCTTTAATTAATGCAGAGAACATTGTCTCTATTTTTTTTGTCTCTAATTCTTTAACAAACTGCTGAGAATAACAATAATTGTGCAGTATTCTATCTGCAAGTCTTCTGAACTCAAAACAAACAAGTTCTAGAGTTTATTTGGTACCTATGAGGCAATCTGTGAGGTGCTTTGTGGTCTAACCTTGAGTCCTATAAAACAAGATTCAAATTTCATAAGAAAAGATTTAAAACATTTCTGACAACAGAAATGGGTTTTACTTCAGATCTATGGTAAGCTATTGAGAGAGGCTTATATGTTAAATTTATATTTTAACTATCTAAAATTTTAAAATAAAATTTCAATAGTTTGGATCAATAGTAAATATTTGAAATATTTATAGACATGACAAACTTTCATATTAAATAATTCCAAGCAACATAAACTCATTTATTTCTATTTAATGTCAGAAAATTGGGAGCTCATTTTAAATATAGCATTACTAGCATCAAATAACTATTTCAGAGGTACATAAATAAAAATGAAAATGAAAAACAAAAATATCAACTGTCTTTTAAAAAATAAAAGCATGTAGCCAGGAACAAGGGTTAATGTCTGTAATCCCAGTTGTTGAAGAGATCAGGAGGATTACAACTAGACACCAGCCCAGGTAAAATGATTGCACAACCCCATCTCAACCAATAAAACTGGGCATGGTGATTCATACCTGTTACCACAGCTACAGGGAAGTATAAATATAAAGATTATAGTCCACCTATATGGAAAGCATAAATATTAAAACTTTGGTCCAGACTAGTTGATGCATAAAAATGTTAAAAAAAAAAGAACTGAAGTAAAATGGGTTGGGGACATGGCTCAAGTGGTTGAGCACCTGCCTAGAACAAGAAAAGCTTTGACTTCAAACCTCAGTCACTCAATCTCTCTAGATAGATAGATAGATAGATAGTAGATAGATAGATAGATGCATGGTAACACATACATCATTTCCCAAATCATTTGACCACATAAACTATCAATTTATATTTTGAATATTTTGCACTTAAATCTTACACCTAAATTTTATCAGCTTAAAATATCTTTGAGTTCATTTTTTAATCCAATCATTACTTTTTTATTGTAAAAGTGATATGCGGAGGGGTTAGTTACATATATAGGGTAATGAGTACATTTCTTTTTGAACAGTGCTACCCTCTCCCTCGTTTTCTCCTGCTCCCTCCCCTCTTCCCTTCCTCACTTCTCCTCCCCTGCAAAGTTGTAAAGTTTGTTTCCAACATAATTTTTAATGAAAATTGTTTCTATTTCACTTTCACCTATCACTTAAGTCTGGAGATAGTTGAAACATTCTCGCTATTTTCAAGTATATTGTTATTCAAGCATTGAAGTATATTGTTATTGATTATATCATGGGACCTACTCTTCCTGCCCAACTGAATTTTTGTACATTTGACTAACATCTCCCTGAATTCTTCCAGTCCCATCTCATAACTCAGCCCATCCTATTTTCTCTCCCAATAACATTAACTTGTTTTTCCAAGAATAAGTAAGATTATGTAGTATTTGTCTTCTTGTGCCTAGCTTATTTCATTTAATCTAATGTCTTCTAATTTTTATCTTAATTTTTTATTTTGAAGAGAAAATAGGCATCCTTCAGTGTATCATAAAGTTTAACGTCATATGATAATATACAAAGCATTGGTACTAAGTAATTTTAGAGTTAAAGAAAATGTATAAATAAAGGTATCAGTATGTCAAAAACACAGATTTACAAAGTTGTCATTTGCATTATTTGTATAATGATCAATGACACCCTTTTGTGAATATCATTTTAAATGCAAAAATGTGGTTTACAGAAAGTGATTTCATCTTTCATTCAAATTTTAGTTGTAGCATTTGAGGTATTTTATTCAGGTAGACTTACATTGGCATAAACACAGCACCTAAAATGATTATTAACTGTCTCAACTTCATAAGAAGTAATATATTTTAGTAACTATTTTAATGATTTCTCTTGTCTTTGTGTAACTGACTGTTCAATAACAATACCTAGATAAATGCATATATTTGTAGTCTGTATTTCATAGCCAAATAGTCCAAGAAACCAAAACAAGGTTCTGTTCTGTTCACTCTTCACCATATCTGTGACTGATTGGCTAAGCACAGATCACCAGTGGAACTTCATAACCCCAACCCTGACCTACCTTCTTTTCAGTTACCCTTTTGCTAGTCTCCAGCAGTATCTGCTGTGCAGATAGAAAACAAATTATGGGTGAAATCAGTTTGATCATTGTTTCCAAACCTTTTTGGTTCTCCCAAATCTTGCCCCTCAAAAACAGAGGACACACAAGATAAACAAGCTTTAGATTTTCATTCAGAATTCTGATATATCTCTTCAATTCCTCTGTCACCACGAGGCTGGATCAAAGCAAATGCAATGACTTCCAGACACAGCTACTTCCTTATGACCCTTATAAACCCAGAATGTGATCCTTCAGTAACTCATTGTCCATGCCGGAGGTTCAATACTTCACTCTCAACCTCTCTCTTCTGAGCCATATTATCTCCTTTTTTTTTTTTAACCAACCCTATTCAAACAATGGAAAGACCTATTTTCAGTTTGGAACATGGAAAAGAATAATGGAAAATATTTGACCTATTTCCAGGGCATGGCGAGTTTGAAGCCTAAAGTTCTTACAGTGGCGTTCTTCTTCTTGATGATTCTTTCTGGTTTTGTGTTTTACACACACACAAACACATACACACACACACATAACATATAACAGTTTTGTAATTTTTAAAAACTCTTACAATTAAATTTCATGCCATAGAACAGAACATAAATTAGATATTAAATATTTTCAGTGAATAACATATACATTAAGGGAGACTATCATTAGTGCAGATCATTCAAAGAGAAAAAACAGATTTTCAGCTTTGAAAACATACTGCCTTAAATTCTACCTTCCTCCAAAAACAATTCTCTTTACTAAAATTAGGTAATGATTGATATCACACATAGCACTGGAAAAATTCTGGACTTTAAACTTGCAACAAGTCAGAAATAATTTAACTACTAATACTTGACTATTGTCTGCTGAGACAGCCACTCATTTTAGTGTCTGCAATAAAACTGCTATACTCCCAGAAGGAACCTTGCTATGTAATTGCAGAAACAATATTCAGTCATGTTTTCATTCTAGATTCTATAACGAAGTTCAGCTCTGCAGGAGTAGATGGGCATAGGTCATTACTTGTAACCTCAATGAACAGTAACCACTTGGGATGAGAGAAAGAACATGCTCCAAGAGAAAGAGTATATTAAACTTGATCATCAAACTCAGGTCTGAATTTGTAGAAAATATATCATGAAAGAGGAAAGGGAAAATAAGTACTCTGTATTACCTAGATGATTTAACTCTCCTAATTAGCCTAATTGTTTTATAAGACATCTCTCTCCATCCTTAAATAATTGATCAAAAAGTATTGTTTGAACTTTTAAAGAATTTCTGACCCAGAGACATCTCATCTTATAAATCTTTTCTCAAATGAAACATATACATATTCAATATACTTACTGGAGATGTTGATACTTGAGTTATCCTTAACTGGTTTTCCAAATCTTGTACTTTATTTTTAAGTTCCATATTTTCTGTTTCTAAGTCTTGGATCTAAAAAGCAAGTGGTCATTGAGTAACTTTCAGGATTTATTTATTTATTTATTTGCTTGAAAGATAGTGGGTTTTCTATTGGTTAATTTAACAAATAACATTTTGTACTATTTATAATGTATACTATTTAGAATTTTTATTTATGCTATTTAGAATGTATTTATACTATTTAGAATTTATATACTATTTAGAATTAATTGCCTGCACACAGCAGACAATTATTTGAAAAACCTTGGGCAGTACTGGAGGATTCTAGGTCATTGGAGAGACACATTCAATTTAAAACATATTTTATGTGTGTGCAAATTTTATGTTCCTAAATGTGTCATCTCTGTATGTTCTTGATGTGCTGGGCAATTTATACTAGCAGTCTTGCAGTGTGACCACATGACAGTGAAATTTGCTCCTGGTGATGCAGAAGAATGGAGAAGGGGTGTAATATAATTACAAAGGAATCTGAGCTTCCTGGGGAACCACTTACCCAACATCTGCTGCTTCTGCTGCTCTGATCCCCATGAGACGCATCAGGAAGTGAAGCAAAAAATCACATGAGAACACTAAGTTCTTGTGGGAATTCAATATAAAAATTAAAAAAAAAACAACTGCAGGGGATCAGGAATGAAAAAAAAATCTTAAGAGCACAGTGAAGGGAACTAGTGAAAGGGAAATATAATGATGGTTCTATTAACTTGTTTGATGCTATGCAAGTTTCCTGTACTTACACGACACAAATGTGAACCAACAACTTTAATTTACTCACTCTTTTCTGTAACCCTGCAATCTGTTTTCTTGTTTCCACATCTTTTCCTCCAGATTCTAGAAACTTCCTGTATGCCAGATCAAATGCTTGTCCAATTGTTAACGTTATCTCTTCAGCCTTTGTAAAAATCAAAGAAGATTGCCATTTTAATAGCAGTATGTCTGACTGCTCTTTGAATCAATTGAAACAAAATTCACTGTGAATCTAGTTTAGACATTCATAGGAGTTATTCAAAAGGATATAGCACATGAGCCAAATACCTACAACTTGCCAGGCATATTAAAAATAAACAGGTTAGGCTCTGGTGGTTCATACCTGTACTCCTAGCTACTCAGGAGGTTGAGACCTGAGGATTACTGTTTGAACCCAGCCTAGGCATGAAAGTTCATGAAACTCTTATCTCCACTTAACCACCAAAAAGCCAGAAATGGGGCTGTGCCAAAAGGGGTTGCAGCACTCCTAGGAGTGCTGGCCTTTAGCATAAAAGTTCAGGGACAGCACCCAGGCCCCAAGTTCAATGACCAGCACAAAAATGAACAAGCAAACAAATACTAGAGGAGGCCACTAATGAAGTTAGAAGGAAAAGTTCTTCCCACTCTTCATCCCTTGCATTTGTGGTATTTTTCCTAGATATTTTCTTAAATATTTATAACCTATTAAATGAAGGTACAGTGTCTAATGCAGTTTTTCTTGCTATTGTACTATTTGTTTACTTTTCCTGGTGAGAAGGGTTTGTTAAATTCTGGGAGGGTAATCTGAATGAGGCCAGCAGGGTGGTTTCTGTAGAAAACTTGAGGTAAATCCTCTAATTATTGCCTAGTGAAACTGAGCAATTCTAAATTCAGAATAAATCTTAAATACGCAAGGTGAAATCAGAAGTTTGAAAACTTATACAAATAAGGGTAGGCAGGGTTTTTGTTGTTGTTGTTGTTGGTAAAACAAGGCTAACTGGGCAAAATGTAACTGTCATCTTGAAGTTGGTTTAGGAAATATTTGCACTCTGGACAGCTGACTAGAGATTGCTGACTAGAGATAGCCCACTTCTAGTTCATTCATATCTTCACTGATTTTGTGTTATCCTGCATTAAGTATAAACTAAAAATAAGGCTTATTTATTATCATTGAAGAGAAGTTTGGTAAAGGCATTAATCAATTTCAGGAATGGTGAACAATTTAGTAAGACTAATTTCTATAATGTCTTAATGGCAACTAGCAGTAAATTAGTGGTTACATCAATTAGTGTTACTAGTAGTAACATTACATATTGACATCACCATGCTTCTATTAATCTACTACTGAAATTTAAACAGTTGTGTTACAGAATTTAAAATTTAGATGATCTCATTGACAATGTCATTTTTCTGCTTAAGGAAGATTTGAATTATAAAATAGAGGTTAACATAATTAAAAAAATGCAAAATATGTGCACAAAGTCCTTCTATAGAAAAAAGCTGGGCATCAGTGGCTCACACATGAATCCTAATCCTAGCTACTCAAGAGGCTGAGATCTGAGAATCATGGTTCAAAGTCTACCAGTCAGGGAAGTCTGGAAGACTCTTATTTCCAAATAACCAGAACAAAACTTGAAGTGGAACTCTGTGGATAAAGTGGCAGAGCACCAGCTTTGAGTGAAAAAGCTAATCGAGAGAACTCAGGCTTTCAGTTGAAGCCCCAGTCCTGGCACATAAATATATTTTAAAATGTAGTTCACCTTTCTATTTATTAAATTACCCATCCAATGTGTCTGTCTAATAAGACATGCTATGTTCAAGTCCTCAGTATGATTAACTGATAAAACTGTTGATCATTCATATTATTATTATATATTATTATAAGAGCTTAAAAATTCTTTTTATTTATTTTTTTAAATGAGTTTTTTATTGTGAAAATATCGTACAGAGGGGTTACAATCACATGGTAATGAGTACATTTCTTATCAAGCATTGTTGCAGCCTCCTCCTTTGTTTTGTCCCTCATATCCCTGCCCTCCCAGCATGACTACACCTCCCTGGCCCTGCCCTGTGGGCCCCCCCTGACCTGTGGGCCCCCCCTGCCCTGTGGGCCCCCCTTGCCCTGTGGGCCCCCCCCGCCCCTGCCCCAGGGTAAAGTTAGTTTTTCAACATAGCGTCTTGTACATCTCATTGTTGCAATGGGTCAAATCTGTATCCCTATTTAAGCATTTTGTTTTTTTGACTCCCAAGTCCTTGCATTTCAGAGAGGAAAAGACTAGGAAAGTTAAGATTTATATACAATGGAATGCACAGACCATAATTGTACAGTCACATGGTTAGATAAATTTCCATGTTAACAAAGTATCCTATTATTAGTACATGAAATATATTTATTCCCTCAGAAAGCGTCCTATGTTTATTTCTAGTCAGATCACATTTGTCATTAGTAACCATTGCTCTAATTTATAAGACTATGGATCAATTTTGCTTATCCTTGATATCCATGAAAATAGATCATTTAGTATATACTCTTTGGTGTCTACATGCATTTGTAACATAATGTTTTTTGAGTTTTACATATGTCACAATATTCCATTTGTTTTATTTGTTTTATTAGTTTTCAATGCTATACATTTACTGCCATTAATTTTTCCAACTTTCTGCTGATGGACATTCAAGGCTTTTTCAGTTATAAACAAAAAAACTACAGATGTCCTTTGAAGTCTTTTTTAGTATCTTCTGATCTCCACTGTATTGGTGAGTACTTTTTGTTTACATGTAGTATCATGTGTTTTTTAATTCCCTATTTTTAAGACTTATTAATTTCCTCTTTCATATGTAATCTATGATATAACTAAAAGTATACAGATGATAAATAAGATAGATAATATAGATAGATAGATATCCTGAACTTTGTCAGACTTCTCAAAATTATAATTGATATATTTAATTCCATTTGGGGATTTTTTTCAGGCAGCAGAAAATGATTGTTTTAAAAAATATACAATTTAGCCAGGTGCTGGTGGCTCATGTCTGTAATCCTAGCTACTGAGGAGACTGAGATCTGAGGATCATGGTTCAAAGCAGCCAGGGCAGAAAAGTCCCTGAGAGCCTTATCTCCAATAAACCACTTGAAAACTGGAAGTGGCACTGTGGCTCAAGTGGTAGAGCGCTCGCCTTGAGCTAAAGAGCGCAGGGATAGCGCCCAAGCCCAGAATTCAAGCCCCACGACTGACCAAAAAAATAAAAATAGAATATAACTGTAATTTAACTTCAAAAGTCTATAAATCAAAAATATGTATTAATACAGATCTCAAAATAGCCTTATGAGACAGACCTTTAATAATTCATTCAAAAATATCTTGCTTAGAAGATACTTCATATTCCCACAAAATTGTATTTATTTTTGCTGGTTCTGGGGCTTAAACTTGGGCATTTTGCTCAAGACAAAACTAAGAAACTTACTATTTTCATTCTAGTAATTTAATGAAATACAAAGAGAAAAAATTACTTTAAAAAAGAATTGTTTCTAAATATTTTAAAAGGCAGCCTGTAACTACAAAGAACAAATAACTTCTTATAAGTTGACATTGAGGAAGGACTAGATGAAATGATTTCTCCTATTATTAATTACATATGATTCTTTTGACAATGAGCTATTTTCATAGAGAGAATTATTGAGTAACAGAGAGGTTACATCTTTGCCATGCTGTTCATTTGATGTCATAACATCAGCAAAGTGTTATGTAGTAGTTTTATAAGCATATTGGGAACTACTGTTAAATTACTTCAAAATCAAAGTAATGAATAATGTGTTGTTACAAACATTTGAAAAAATTCTGAAAAGGAAATAATGGCTAATTGGTTGACACTGACTATATTTGACTTATTAAATCAAGAAGCCAATTCAACCATCACAATGAACTCCATATTTCATCTTTTTTTTCAGTTTAATAAGATGGCTATAGAAGTTGTATATGTAGGAAACCCTCATAATATAACATCATTTTACCAGGGAATTGAATTCCTGTCTTGTAGTATATGAAGGCATGCAATCAGAGTTAAACTATATAGTTGGGCTTCTATAATTATTTATCTTTTGTTACTCTGGGAATTGCAGTATAACTGTCTGGCCTGTGTTTACTTAAAATAAGATCAATAGTTCAGTACAAATAGGCCGGAACGTACTTTTTAAGTGTTTATTATGTAATCATTTCAGATTTACATCCAATTGTAAGAAATAGTACAGGAAGGTCTTGTGTATACTTTTCCAGTTTCTCCCAGGGGAGACATATTACAAAATTACAGTGCAAATCACAACCAGGATATTGATCATTGTAACAATGCAGAGTAATTCGTTTACCACAGGAATCTCTGATCTAGCTGTTAGATAGGCAAAACCCTATTCTAGGCCTTTCCTTAGGCCATTGGCAAACTTTAGTAATCTGTTCTTCATTTCTATAATTCTGTCATTTATAAGTGATACAGGAATAGAAGGAAAACACATAATGTTCTGGAACCTTTCCACTCTCTACAGTCAACCAGATCATTGTGCATATTAGTATCTCATTCCATTTTATCAATAAGTAGTGTTCTATGGTTGGGATGTAACCAACTGTGCTTAATCGTTGTATTTTGTTTGTATTTTGTGCCATTATAATCATCCTAACTAATACATAGATGTATAGGTTTTTGTGTGAACACTTTAAGCTTTGATTTTTCTGAGATGACTGTCTAAATATTTCATATGATAATCACATGTTAACTGACAAATTGTCTTTCTAGAGTACTGTGGCATTTTATATCCCCAGCAGCTTTATTTGACTCAACTAGGCTTTCTGACAGTTGTGCAGTTCTAGCTAAGTCTTTCAATTAGATGTCTTAATTGAGCATTGTTTTATCTTTGCTCTCTTCAATTAAAGTTCTTTCCAGATTTTTCAAAAAAAAATTTTTTTTGTTAACCAGATCTTGTGTGTGTGTTATTGAACAGACGGCATCATGTAGGAACAAAGATTCATTTCATTCTTTAGAGTCCACATGTTATTTCTAGTCTTATTGTAAGGGCTACAAACTTAAGGCATGCATTTTATAGTACCAAGAGTAAAAAATAAACAAACAAAAACTGTCCTTTTCTATATTATTTTCAAAGTATTCATTTTTAACCCCATATAAGGAATCTGTAGTTATTACGATGCCTATAATCAAATTAAGTTTTTGTTGGTTTTAACAAAGAGTGTTGATTTTTACTAATACTTTAAACCATAGACTGCTATGATTATATGGTAAAAGACATGTCATGATTTGAAACAATGCTCTTTTGTAATATATGTACTTAGTTATTATATCTTACTCTCAGAATGACTTTATATCACAAATATCTTGTTAAGATTTATTTTATATCTAGTTGGTTCATTGATTTAAAAAAAATCTCATCTAGTATATCTATGAGTCAAGCGGAAAAGGTCAGATAATGTGATGTCAGGAAAATGTACCCTTAGATATGTATTTTAATGTTTTTTTCTTTCATGC